ATTCCCGGTCAGGGCACATGCCCGGGTTGCGGGCTCGATCAATGACTCTCTCATCATTGATGTTTCTGACTCTCTCTCTCCCTCTCCCTTCCTCTCTCTGAAATCAATAAAGATATATATATAAAAAAGAAAAGAAATAGCCAGAGTCAGTATTTCCATAGTGCAGAGAGCAGAGAGGGAGGGAAGGAGATGGAGTTGGAGCAGTGCCAAAGGCTGGGTTTTTCAGTCTTTGAAACCAAAACAAGGACTATAGATTTTTATTCTACGGGTGCTAGAAAGCCCTGGAAGTTTAAAAGCAGTAGAAACAAAATTGGACATAGTGTTAAAAGATTACCCTGTCCGTTGTATGGATGCAGATTAGTCGGAAGACAATGGCAGTGCCCAGGCCCATGATAATGGTGTTAGAAACGGTTGAGGTCTGAATTGCTGGGGTGCCAACCGTATTTTGAAGGCAGAGCCAACAGGAATTGCTGATAGACTGAATGTGGAGTGTGAGAAACAAAGGAGTGAAGGATGATTCCAGTGTTTTGGCCTGAGAACTTGAGGGAATTGTGAAGTTGTTTGAAGAAGGGGTTATGGAATCAAAAGTTCATTTGCTAAGTTAGAGATGTCCTTTAGACATCCAGATACTGAGGAGCACAGTGAAGGGCTTGGGTGAGAGACGCATCTCTGCAAGCATGTCAGAAATACGTTGAACTGTGCAACTGGATGAGTGTGGCTGGGAAGGAGAAGAGGTCTGAGTATGAGTCCTGGGATGCTCCAATACTTAGAGGTTTTTAAGAGCAGAAGGTCCCAGTCAAGAACACTGAGAAGGAGCAGCCAATAAAATAGAAAGAAAGTCAGGAGAGTGTGGTGTTCCAGGGGCCAAATAAAGACAGTGCTTCATCAAAGAGGGAGTGACGTACTACGTCCGGTGCTCCTGAGTCAGCAAGGTGGGGATGGAGAATCGATTTGGTATCATGGAATATACAGTCACCTTGACAAGAGTGATTCCAGCAAGCAGGAGGGAGGAATGCCTGTTTGGAGTGGGTACAAGAAAAAATGGGTTAGGAGACGGAGACAGAAAATAGAAACACATATTAAAGGACTTTGTGATCATGATAAACAGAGAAATGGGGAGGTGGCTGGGGACAGACCTGGGATCAGGGGAGGACTTTTTAAGATGAACAAGATTACATGTTAGTATGTTGTGGGTTAGTGGAAATAACCCACAACGCATCAAACCATAAGCAAGCTGATGACGTAAGGGGTGGGGCTGTTGTAGGAGCAAAGCCTCGAAGTAGGTGAGGCTCCACGAAGGGAGGAGCGAGCCTTAAATGGGAGCAGGGACGGCCCGTCCAAGTAGACAGGCTGATTCGGTGGTGATCACTAATGGAAGCTCTCTCTCTGTTTCTTCTGCTTAGTCAGTGAAATGGGAAACGGCCTTCAGCTAGGTCTTGGGTTTGAGGAGAGAGGAAGTGTAAATAATCAGTAGTAGGATCTCTTACATTGGTTTGAAAGGTTTTTCATTTTTTACAGTTGTTAATCCTTACCCAAGGATATTTTTTTCCATTGATTTTTTTTTTTTTTTCAGAGAGAGTAGAAGGGAGGGAGGCAGAGAGAGAGAGAGAGAGAAACATCGATGTGAGAGAGACTCTTTGATAGGTTGCCTCTCACATGTTCCCTGACAAGGCCAGGGATCGAACCTACAACCCGGTATGTGCCCTTGACTGGGAATGTAGCCTACAACCCTCCAGTGGGAGGAGGGTCTAACCACTGAGCAACACTGGCCAGGATGGCTCTGCTATTTTGAAAAAAGAAAAAGAAAATAATTTCTCATCCTCAACATGATTAACTATCTTACGGGTTTTTGAAAGGCTAGAATCCCACAGTTTGAACACTGGAATCAAAACCTCCCTGATTCCACATTCCTTAGACTTGTCTCTTTCCTCATTGTCTAGAATTATGTTCTTGTACCTTGATCTCCTGGGCTCACGAGCTCAGAATCACTTTCAGTTGCTCTTCAACCTTCACAGTGGACGGTGAGAAGTCTGGTTGAGGAATTAGCAGGCCTGGATTCTGGCTCAGTTACTAGTTCTGTGACTTTGAGGAAGTCATTTAACTTCTCTATGTCTTAGGTGCCTTAACTATAAATCTCAATTGATAGAATTCCCTACCAGGTCAAAGAAACCCAGTGCCCTAGTTAGTCTATACAGCTCTATAGTAAGTAACTTTAAATTTTCCATTGGAATATTGAGAATGCAGTAGGGCCCTCGTGACAGTCCTTATCGACGGCTAAGGCCTGGGATGGCCCAAGAGGAAGAGGGGGAGCCTCTGGTCTGTCATTCCTGGTCCAGGCACCTCTCTCCATGCCCCAAGCCCCGGCATAGCGCTGTATCTTCCTGGGGGAAGAGGCAACTTTTTCTCATTTAAGCAAAGGCTCTGGTTATAAAGTCCCTTAGCTGCAGAATTAAACTAGAACCTAGGTTTATCTGAACCCAAGGCCAGTGCTTTATTGAGCCTTTTTAATGCCAGCCCTTCTTGAAGGCACCGGGTTTGTATCTATTAGGGTCAGGGGTTCCCTTGAATTCCCAGGGATCCTGACCACCACGTGACAGTCAAAGGCCCCCATAATGAGGGACTGCCTTCTCCTTCCTCCCACAGGCGAGGTCTTGATAAATTGCCCAACAATCCTTGGGCAGTTGGGAAGCAACGTGCTGCTGCCCCTGACACCCGAAAGGATAAGCAAGAGCGTGAACAAGAGCATCCGCATCGTCATCACAAAGGCAAAATCACCGGGGGACTGGTCGAAAAAGAAAATTGTGTCTCATGATCTGCCAGAAGGGGGCTCTGCGCACTATTTGGAAGATGGCTACACGTTCGATCTGGAAAACCTGGGGATCTTGGAAAGCAAAAAGGAGAATGAGGGCTGGTACCATATGACCCTGGAGGGAAATGATTCAGTCCAGCACTTTTGCCTGCAGCTGAAGCTCTATGGTAATGACGGTCACTTCTCCACACCGCAGGGCCAAGGCGGTCCCTTGCCTAAGAACTAAGGCCTCTCACGGAAGCCAAGAGTATTCAGAAGTGGGAGCAGCTTGAAAGATCACCTAGTCTGGGGGTATTTAAACTGCGCTTTAGGAGGGAGTGTTAGAGGTTCACAGATCTTTTTTGTCCAAATCATACATCGGTGGTAGCTGATTAGCATTAATCACCTTTACCTCACTTTCCCAAAGGAAATGAGCACAGCTGCCTGTGGGCTAGAGAGCCTGGAGCCCGAGAGTCTTGATTTGCAAATAAGATTTTGTTGGGGAAAAAGGTGTGTTTTTTTCTGATTTTTAAAAGCTTGAATACCACTGATCAATCCGCACCTCTCTTTCACAGAGGAGGCCTGAAATCCAGAGAAGTGGCTGTACAGACTTTCACACATCTGTGTGGGTGGCTCACTGCAGAAGGGGTCCTGGGAGGAGAACTGAAACAGCCCACGGGCCGCTCTCCGAGCCCCTTGCCCCGGTGTAGCATTGCATCTTTCTGGGGGAAGAGACAACTTTTTCTCATTTAAGCAAAGGCTCTGGTTATAAAGTCACTTAGCTGCAGAATTAAACTAGGGCCTAGGTTCACCTGAATCCAAGGCCAGTGCTTTATTGAGCCTTTTTAACGCCAGTCCCTCTTGAAGGCACCCAGTTTGTATCTGTTAGGATCAGGGGTTCCCAGGGATCCTGACCGCTATGTGGGCTGTCCTGCTTCTTCACAGTGGCTTCCTTATCTCTGAGGATAGGACAGGGACAGGGAGCCCCACTCACTCCTCAGCATTTCTTTGAAATTCCTCAGGCACCTACAGGGTGGACAGCAATACTCTCCCCACCCTTCCCCTGCCCCTAGAATTCCCTTTCCTCCAGCCCTCCAGCAGGTACCAGAGAGTCCCGATCACTCTCATGCTGGTCCTGGCACAGGCTGCCATGAGCATGGAGACTGCATTATGCATATTCCAGAACAGTTTACACTGCCTTTGTGACATCTTGTCACATTTTGTGATCAAATTCTGACCTTGGAAAATATGATCTCTGCAACCATGGTATTCTTGTCAAAGGAAGAGGCTGGATTTTTGAGTCAGATAGACCTAGGTTCAGATCTCAGCTTGGCTGCCTATAAAATGAGTGACATTATGTAAGCTACTCCACTTCTCTGGGACTCAGCTTCCTAATCTATAAAATGGGGATAATTATAACTAGGGTTGTAACTGTTAAAGTTTTTAAGAAGATTAAAGAATGTAAAATTCCAGCATTGTGCCTGTCCTATAGTAGTTGCTAAATAAATAAAACCTATTCCTTTCCCTTGCCAATTTTATGGCATTAGAGTAAGATAAATCAGTAAGGCCTGTGGCTATCCCTGCTTCAGACATTTTAAAGCACTGGACACACATATGCACGCACGCACAAGGGATAAAATTCTACCATTAAAAAGTAATTTTTGCCCTAGTGGGTTTTGCTCAGTGGTTAGAGCATCAGCCCGCAGACTGAAGGGTCTCGGGTTCAATTCCAATCAAGAGCACATACGTCGGTTGTAGGCTCAATCCCTGGCCCCAGTTGGGGTGAGTGCAGGAGGCAACCAATCGATGTGTCTCTCTCACATTGATGTTTCTCTCTCTCTCTCTCTCTATCTCTCTATCTCTCTATCTATCTATCTATCTGAAAAGCAATGGAAAAAATATCCTCTAGTGAGGATTAAAAAGAATTTTTTTTAAAGTCATTCTTTTAGGTCTCGGAGGTGACACTTTAGCCAATGACAATTAAACCTATGAGGGATTTGTTGACAGCAAACTCCACAGATAGAATACAGGAGAACAGCCTAGATCAGGGACATCAGGGAAGGCAAGGGGATCCCTAACAGTGTTGGTAGGAGGGAACTAAAAGACTTTTTTCTTCTCTATTTTATCGCAAGGGAGTCTTGGAAAGGAGTAAGTGAGGAGAGAGGGATGGTACAGAGCAGTAGGTCGCTATTAGAAAGAAATCCCACTGGGAGGGAAAGTGCCACTAGGCTGCATTTTCTTCTAACAAAAAGGCCAAGTCAGAATTCCAAGGGGTTCATGTCAGTGATGGCTCCCTTTCTCCCCCTCATGACAGAGGGGGTCTCCACTCCAGAAATTAAGGTGTTGAACTCAACTCAGAAGAATGGAAACTGCAGCTTGATGCTGGCCTGCGTGGTGGAGAAGGGGGACCACGTGGCTTACAGCTGGAGCAAGGAGGCAGGCATCCAGTCACTGAGTACAGCAAATGGCTCCCACCTCCTGTCCCTCACCCTTGGCCCTCAGCATGCTGACGACATCTACAGCTGCACAGCGACCAACCCCATCAGCAACCGTTCCCAGACCTTCATCCCGTGGTCTAGATGCAGGTCCCATTCCCCAGGTGAGTGGTGGCTTGTGTGCCACGTTAATGATATGGGCTCAGTCTCACCTGGACCAATCACTCTGCTCTTATAGCCATGGCCTTACCTCGGTAGCAGCACTACATTTTCTCTATAGTTTAGAAAGGCCTCCCATGTGTATTCAGGGAGTGCTCTCTACTCATAATGACCAGGGTGGCATTATTACACTCAGTTCACAGGTGATGAAACCAATAAGATGATGGAGGCAGACCCAGAGCCCAGGTCTCACCTTCTCTCCTCTTGCTTGGGCTCCAGTCAGCGGGGTGGCTGGGGGAGGGGGTGCGGGGGGCAGGCACTGACTCCCACATCCCTGTTCCACTAATGGTGGGAGAGCTCTACGCCATCAGTAAGTATTGAACGATCTTCTGGGCTGTAGGAGGCTAGGAATAGATATGACATGTGATCTGTTCTCCAGCAATGTGTTGTAAAGATAAGACATCAAACATTTGCTCAATAATGAAAAGCGGGATATAATGAAGGGCCACTTTTATGGAATTGACTGTGGAGCCCACAGCGGGTGAGAGGACCCAGGGAGTCAGCTCTCTAAGACCTGGGCTGGGGAGTCTGGGAATAGAGAGAAATGGTACAGCACTTTATTATTGACAAAGCACTTTCAATTATACAATCTCTCTGATCCTCACCGTAACCTTGTCGGCATCATCCTCATTTTGCAGAGAAACTTGAAGCTCACGTTATTTAACGAACTTTCTCAAATTTCTTCAACTTATAAATGGTAGAGTCTGACTTCTCTTTCACTAGAAGATCTTCTGACTGCCCTTTCACTAGAAAGAAATGCACCATTATCTTGTTTTCAAAAGGAATGGAGGGCTGATTAAGTAGGCCCCCCTAACCACTTGAAGCTGGAAACACTGGCTCTTTTCTCCAACATATTTTGTGGCCCTGTCTCAGGGACAGAGGACCAGGGTGCTGGCTTTGCAAGGCAGAGTACTGGCCCTAACATTCTCCTCTGTGCACCCACTGGGAGTCTCCAAGGAGACTCCTGCCCACAGCAGACTTGGTGTTTATATGGAAAAATATCCAGATGACCAGGGATGGGGGGACAGGGAAAGCCAGCCAGCTTATGCCCTTCACATAGCATCTCCAGTTAGAGGCTCCCCTGAGGATTTCCCAGATGAACTGCTGGGAAAATCCCACCTGGCCTCCAGTCTGCATCTGAGAGCTCCTCAGTGAACCTCCCCAGCCATTCGTGGCAGAGTTCATCATCTGTCCACCTACTGGCTGCTTGCCCGTCCTGCACCCAAACTCCATTCAGAGGCTGCCCCCCAGTTCAGACCTCTCTCCCTGCCCACAGTCATTCAGATTGTGCCGGTGGGACCAAGGAAGTGATGTTGCATAGTGTAGAGTTTACAGAACGTGCCTCCAGAGGTCCTAGATCCAATCCTGCCCTTTTTACTTACAAAGATACTTACAAACCTAAGACTTAGATTCTTTCTCAAAAATAATAACTGACAGGTCTCCATTGTTTACGCCAGTTACGTAGCATCTCACGAGATCCTTACAGCAACCAAGGAGTGTTAGCATCCCCACTTTATGGATGGGGAAATAAAATGTAAAAAGATCACACAGGGCAAGTGACAGAGCTGAGCTGTCTGACCTTGTCTGACCCTGGGATCCTCATAGGTACTAGTGGAAGAGATCACACACTTAAAATGCTTTATAAATCACAGTAAAAATGTGTTGTTGTTTTTTCCCTTGGGGCTGAGGAAGCAGTGGCTCTTAACCTTGATCACAGCAGCCCTGTCAGAGTTAAGGCAGGGCACCCAATGTCTTACCCTGGCCTGTCTCAAAAGAGAGGGAGAACTGTCTTCACGCTCTCAGTGCGGTTTAACAGGAGTTTCTTTAGTGCATCCCAAAGTCTTGGCAGGCCATGAAGCTTTTGCTTGGGCACTTGACTCAGGGCCCTCCAAAGAAACGTGAAGATGCTCTTACCCATCTAAGCTGCTTTGAGGACCAAGTATGCACTTAGCTGAACCAGAGTTATTGAGTTTGAAGCAGGCTCCCAGAAGCTATGGAGAGATAGGCGTAGCAGAAACAGGGTGCCATGAAGAAACCCTGCAGGACCCCAGCTCAGCCGTTGAGAACTACCCAGCACGGTGCAGCATTTCACTTTCTTAGGCTCTGTTTTATCATCTGTAAAATGTAAAGGGTGAGCTAGTGAAGGTGTTTCTAGAGTTGATATTCTAATCCAGCCGGTACGTACATTAATAATAAATGCTAAGAAAGGGTTACAAAGGTGAAGGTGTATTAGTTTGCTAGGGCTGCCGTAACAATGTACCACAGACTGGTGACTTACGTGTCAGAATGCGTGGTCTCACAGTTCTAGAGGCTGGAAGTCCGAGATGAAGGTGTTGGCACAGTTGGTTGCTCCCGAGGGCCTTTGGGAAGGATCCGTTGCAGAGCTCTCTGCTCGGCTTGTAGCTGGCTGTCTGCTATGCCCCTGTACCCTATCTTACTTCCATGCATGTCTCTGTTCTAATTTCCCCTTCTTATAAGGACGTTAGTCATATTGGATTAGGACCCACCTGCAATTAGGTTTCTAGCGCTGCTATAGCTAAATATCACAGACTGGGGGGCCTAAATAACAGAAATTTATTTTCTCATAATTCTAGAGGCTAGAAGTCCAAGACCAAGGTGTCAGCAAGGTTGATTTTTCCTGAGGCCCCTCTTCTTGGATCCCAGATGGCCACCTTCTTGCTTTGCCTTCCCATGGCCTTTCCTCTGTGCTTGCACATCCCCGGTCTCTCTCTGCATGTCCAGATTCCTCTTCTTATAAGAACACTGTAAGATTGGATTAGGGCCCACCCTAATAACCTCATCTGAACTTAATCACCTCTTTCAAGACCCTGTCTCCAAATACAGTCACATTCTGAGGTACTGGGGGCTAGGGCTCCAACATACAAGATTTAGGGGACACAGTTCAGCACATAACACCATCTTAATGACATCATTTTAACTTGATTACTTCTGTAAAGACTATATCTCCAAATAAAGTCACATTTTAAGATTGTCACCATGTGCGCTTTTGGGGAAACACAACTCAACCCATAACAGAAGTAGAGGTCCCCTCCCCTGCCTTTAGGGATGGGAAACTACAGCACAGCATGTCAAAACCAGCTCCCACATCTGGTTTGTGGAATGCTGTTCCCAACGTACCAGGTTGACTAATACCAAAAAAAGTTTTATTAATTCATTGGTTTGCAAATTAATACTACTGATTCTTAAAATATTGTGTTTGCAAATGAATACTACTAATTCTTAAAAATACTGTGCTTAGTTTGACAAAACATTTATTGTTCCAACTACTATGTTCCAACATTGTGCTAGGTGCATTTTTTTTCCCCTTAAGGAAGGAGATAGTTCTGTAAGTAACTCATCCTAGACTGTGTAGTGTGATAGGTGCAAAACAGAGGTTTGTGCAAGGTAACAAAGAGGAGGGAATGATTGGTGCTGTCTCAGGGAAACAGAACGAGCACCACAGGGGATGTGGTAAATTGGGTGTTGAAAAATAAATAGAAATTACCCAAGCAGATAAAAGAAAGATGTTTCAGGCAGAAGGGAAAGCAGATACAGCTGGGTCTTGTTCTGAATTACCCTGTAAGGGGTGGGAACTAGTAAAGAGTTTTAGATAGAGAGGAGCAACCTGATCAGCTTTGCCTTCCAGAGGGAAAATTCAGTGGTGTGGAGTGGAGACGGGTCAGGGAAGGGGGAAAGAAAGAGATGTTTGTTATGGGGGAGGGGCCTTGCTGCAGTAGCCCCGCAAGGCGGGACGCGGCCTGAGCCAGAGCCGGCCAGTGTACCCAAGACTTCAGGCCTGGGAGGAAGCGAGGGGGTGTGAGGGTCACTTCACTATCTATAATGAGTACAGTAATTTTAAGGCATTTCCCACTTTTATTACTGAAAAACTGAAAGTGGTTAATAGTGTGATGAGGCCAAATGTGATGTAATGTCCGCACTCAAACCAAACTGCAGAGAACGTATTTGTTCCTCGGAATCTTTTTTCCCAAAGACATTTGTCCAGGCGCTCAGTCGTATATTCATCCTATTCCAGTTGCCATCTCAGTGTTTTACAGTAAGAAACTTCTTAATGTCACTCATTATGAAGTGTCTTTATTGCAAAGTCCAACCCCTGGGGTGCCGCAAAGCACTCTCTGCGCCACACAAAGCATGTGGATGTGGGTCAGCCTGGGCGGGTGTGGCCCGCTGCCGTCCTTCATGACTGTGTTCTGACACAGCTACGTCTACACTAACGCAAATAACAAAACCTTAACTAATTCAACTGGAAGGAAATGCCCCTGGAAGCTCATCTTGATAAGATGACCCTTTTCTGTAGGTTGGCAAAAAGCTGGCTCAGCAAGCCTAAGGTTAGTGCAGTGGAAGAAAAAGGCGACACCTGCCAGTGAGCTCCCAGGGCTCTCCCTTTCTCCCAAGGCCATTTCTTCAAACAGACAGCCCTCATGGTTACAGGGTCACCTAGGTGTCTCATGCACAGGGGCAGGTCCTTCACGTTCTTCCCGATCCAGCAACCATGACAACAGCGGTGGAAGGGTGGACCCCAGAGCCTTGTCACATGGCCACACCTGCTAGAAGGGAAGCTGAGAAATGTAGCCCTCAGCTGGGCAGCCATGTGACTAGGCAAGACTTGTCCCTGGAAGAACGGGGGAAAGGCACTTGGGGTACAACTAGTGGCCTCCACAACGCAACGCTGGGTGGGATAGGCGGGTGTAAGGGATTTTTCTGAAAGCTGTGAATTCTGTAAAAATTTCTATTTGGGAGGTGTCAGACCTTAAATTAGTATACGGTTTGTAAGCATCCTCCCCCCACCCCCAGCTCTGAGTGGAAACTGCCACCGACCAGAAGGTATCTCTTGAGGATGGCTGACTTCTTTGAGTAGATGAGCATGGTGCACGCAGCCTTGCTGACAGAACCACATGAAAGGCAGGAAAGGGATCTGGCATTCTCA